GAAATCGAGTTAACGCATAAAAAGAGTAATAATAATATTTACTATCAGTCCGCGTAGGACGCAATGTTTGCCTGACGGGACACGTCGCCGCGCCGACGGCGGCCGGTGGCGGGGCGATCGCAAAGGGCGTGCGCGCGGATCCGGTCCGCGTCTCCGGCTCGTCGCGCGCCCTCGTCAGTTCCGCGTTGTCGCGCGTTTCGGCGTTCAATTATTATTGTTTCTGTCCGTTGTTGTTTTTTCCCAAGACGTCCGCCGACCGCCGCCGCCGCGCGCTGTCCTCGCGCGCGTCACGCTGCCCGGTGACCGTTTCGCCGCCGTCGCCGCCGCCGCTCACCGACCGAGATCGCCTGCCTGCTGCCCGTCAACCGCGGTGACGGACACGCGAACGTACGCGCGCGCGAGAGAGAGAGAGAGCGCGCGCGCGCGCGCGCGCCCGGTCCCGCAGTCGCGTTTCCGCCGGAACGGGATTTCGTTTCCGCGTCAGTCTCGCCGCCACGTTCCCGACCGGATCGTTTGCCGCCAACGAAACCGCTCTGTTATACGATAATACCTACCTGTTATTATCACGACGCCCGTACGCGACCGGCGATATTTAACGTAAAATATTAACGTAAAAAATTACTAACGGTAAGTAATTATAATATTACAATGTCCGTCATTTAACTCCGGTATATTATAATGGTGTGTTTTAAGCGCGGTCTGTTACGTACGTGGTGCGATTTATTTTCGCGCGGTACTTTTAACTATGACCGTTTAGTCCGGTCGCATAATAGGTAAGAAGCCCGGATTTCAATGCAAAGTGCGTTTCGGATTCCGATCGGAACCGATACATTGTTATCGGTCTCACTGATGTGTGTGATTTTAGATACCGAGCTCGGCGAGGGAGCTATTGGTTTTACCAAAATGTTTATTTTTTGTTTTATTTTTTTTCTAGTCCGTGGACACGTTTTTTCCTAGTAAACTATTTTTACGTGCATCGGCTTTTATGAAAGCTCAAATTGTCTAGATGGTACTCTAAAGAGGTTATTTTTTGATTTTTGACGCTATTTTTTAAATAAAAGCGCTTAGGTGGGAAAAAACGTAGGGAAACTTACAATTTCACGATTTCATTATATTATAAAAACACGGACGACGTTTACTACCAGAAAAAATGATTTAATCGAAATATCACAAGATACCTCTTTTGTTGCCTTTTTGATTTAATTTTTTACAGTACCATTGCCAAAACTTTTAAGTTACTTTTGAGCTTATTTTCGGGAGTTTTTTCGCTGTTATTTGGTTACAAATACACGTAGGGACTTGAAACTTGCTAAAAATACTTTTATTGGATTTACCTAGACGTGTTCAAATTTCCAAAATCATCGAACGACTTTTTTTTCTTTTAATAAGCGTTTTGAAATGAAATTTAAACGAAAATCGCAAAAAAAATTACGGCACTTCTAATTACGTATTACCGAACCGCGCTCGGAATCGTCTTTCGTCAACAATAGTTCCTTACAGATATAAATGAAATAACCTTATGAATCCTACCTTCCTAATTTCTCACTTACAATAGTGGCCGCTCTCATCTCCAGTATCAACTCGTTTTTTTTTTTTTTTTGTGATTTATTGTGTCTGTAAATCACTTTTAAACCGGAAATCTATCACTCAGAACGAAAAACCACAAGGGAGACTTTTCGGTTGCGTTTCGAAACTAATCGATGCGTCGATGGGGAGGTAATTGCTTTTTAATTTCCTAAACAGTCTTCATCATGTTTGGGGAGAAGGGGAAATTTGCAGGCATTAAAATTGGCATTATTTTGATTATTTCTATTGTTGTTTTTCTACCAGAAGTTGGACGGCTGTTTTTTAATCGTCTATCTGAATCGCGTTTTCTAAACCGCCGGGACAATCTATTAAAAATGGGAAAAGTTTACGGTTATTGCCGGTTTCACTATTTTGGATTTCGATTTTTGTTAAATAACCGTAGAATTCTGCAATTTTTACAGGATAATTATATTTTATAGACAGGTTAAAGTGATAACGTTTTGGTTGAATTTCGATATAATCTTCACCGTGCCGATTAGCTTTTTACACCCTTAAAGATCCTCAAATGAAGGGAAATGACATTTCCATTGAATCGAACAATGATGTGCCTATGGGGGTTTCAACTTTCAACCCTCTCTAGAAAAATTTTTATGATCGAATTTCATGTTTTAACAAAAAAAAATACCTTGTTTTAAATACAAGTACACACTTATCAAAGGTTAGATAAAAGGGTAACAATTTGCATGTATAAATAGTATTGTTCTTGTTATTGTATTCAAGGTTTCAATTTTCAATCCCCGATCCCACCGTCTGCTTGTGTGTTAGCAAAAATTTCGAGAACTACTTTACATATTTTAATGAAACTTTGTTAAGATAAGACTTTGGTAAATTAGATTTTAGAAATTAAATACAAATCATAAATAAATACAAATTGAATTTAATTAATTGTGTAATACAGTATCACCAGATTTTTTTTAGATCAATTATACAAATTAAAAAAAAAAAAAAGACGAAATAATGTAACAGTAAAAAGTCTTCTGGGGGAAAATTCAACTTCTAAAGTCTGTGACGAAACTCTATTGATCACGAATTTTTTTCTTCAATTTTTAATGTACAGTTTATTAATGATACATTACTATACTAGTTTTTTTTTAATTTTTAGAAATTTTTTTTCGTAATACGTCTCACCTCGATGAGATTTTCTCTATCCGTACCAATATTTAATTGTTCAATTTACTGTGACATTTTTTTTTTTCAGATTTTGAGTGTGATATGAGTATGACGAGTGCTTTTTTGTATCTGTTAACGACTTTTCTACCAAAATAATTGGTTCGATAATGAAGTATACCCTATCGTTTTATATATAATCGGTGCATTGGATAGATCTTTTTTTGAATTTCCTTATATTTTTCTATTGATAATTGGAAAAAACAGAGAAAATGTACTCAATACTGTTTTCCCATAGTTTCGATTCTATTATATGTTGTAATCCGGATAAAAAAAAAAAAAGATTTTGGTGATTGATAAGCAATTTATAGTCATTTGAAATTTACATATTTTTTTTTTTTTATTTTAGTTTTAATTCAGCTTTATGAGTAAAATACATTCGATCTAGCAAAAATGTTTGAAAATTTTAAACGGCGTTCATTTTACATTATTAATGTTTGATACTTATTAGTAAAAAAGCGTAATGTAGTTTTTTGTTTTAATACTGAGTGTCCCACGAAGATGTACCCAACGTAATATTATCTTTAAAAATAATAAAGATGATGAAATTCTTTTATATATATATGTATATTATATTACTCACAGAGTCAAGGACTACAGACATTTTAATTTATATTTTAATTAAATTTGGTAAAAAAAATTAAAATAATAACTTTTTGTTTTATTATTTTCAAAAAAATTCACGTATAGAATTTTTATTTTCATTAAATTCATGATTTTTAATTATTTTGAAATTTCTGAGAAAAAAGTGTACAATCATTTTGCGAATTCGATTATTACAGCCTGTTATAATTGATAATTATGGGCACTTTTCTCCGAGTTTTAAAAAAGTATTAAAAAAACACAAATTTATTGAAAAAAAAAAATTGAAACTTCAATGTTTTTAGAAGAATATAAACTTAACAAAATTGTTGTCTTCAAAAGATATTTTTTTTTACTAAAACATAAAAAACGTATATGAAATAAAAACGTGAAATCCTTATCCCGGTGAGTAATATAAAACAAAATAAAAAATATTTTCAAAATCTCGGGAGATATTGTAACGGGTATATCTTCCCTGGGGACACCCTGTATAAGCGGGGTCGAAGTTCAAATGTTGACGGAAATTGCAAATATTCTGCAAACGTTTCAAACATTATTGTGTTCGACTGGACATCGCTCAGAATCGTTTTTATCAGGCGGTACACGGTCTCGGGTATGTAAGAGTGCAATAAAATATTTTTCATGCTTTGTGAAAAAACGAGAAAAAAACGACGCGATGTCCTGGAAAATTATATTCTCCACGTTGAAAATTTGTCGTAAATATATATACAATATATATAACGTTTGAATTCGTTAAAGACGTTGTGTAATATTGTTATGCAATAGTGCCTACTTCACATCCTCTCAAAACGAATATTTTACAACACATATTATTATACAGAGTGATTTTTTTATCATGAACCAACAATCGTTTCGGAGGATTTTAAGTGAATTTGATTTCTGTTTTTTCTAATTACTATAGAATCGTTAAGGATTTATTTTAAAACCATTTTTAATATTTTGCCCTTAATCCATTTACGTTCAATGAGTACTTTTGATTTCAAATAGGAACCCCCCTTTTTGGACACAGATTCGAATAAAGAATATTTTTCTAGAAATTTTAATATGAATCACGCTAATATCAGGTTTTCTGTTTATGACCGGAGGAGTAGGGACGGGTAATAAATTGCCTATTTATAATCGTTCCCTACCTCTTCGGTCTAAACTTTAAACTGTTGTAACTCATAAACGGTCAATCTGATATTAGTTTAATGCGTATCGAAATTTCTAGAAAAATACTCTGTATTCAAATCTATGTTCCAAAAGGGAGAGGGTTTCTAATTGCAAATCGAAAGTATGTACTTATTTAGCGTATATGGAGTAGGGGGAAAATATTAAAAAATAGTTTCAAAATAAACCTTAAACGAATTACTAATGATAAGAAAAAGCAGGAATCAAATTCACTTAAAATCCAACGAGATAATTTCTGGTTCGTGATAAAAAAAATCATCCTGTATATATTCGTATGTTTATATATTATTTTTCAATATTTATAACATACTTACTTACCCACAATAGTTGTCCGTCAAGCGCGATTATCGATACGGACGCGAGTCTATATATATTATTATTATTATAAGGTAATTATTTTAAAAAAAAAACCGAATTACGGGCTTTTATACGATATGAAAATAATTGCTCCCCGAAGCAATGATAATGATAATAAGACAATAATATTGCGCGTGTTAATATAATAATATTTCCGCGAGGCGAGTTATTACGGAACGATCACGCGGCGCGCGTATACCTATACAGTAGTTTCGGTTACTGTTACTGTTTCAGTGGCGTGACCTGCGGGCGAAACTCCCCGGGGGATCAATTTTAAAATCCTCTCGTTGACTTGTAAAACGAAAAAGAAAAAAGAAAAATAAATGCATTTTCTATAAATCCATAGAGTACACGAAAAAATCGTATACCTACCGTGTCATGTTTCAATGTAAAACCGCATTTACTTACTGAATATTATCGTAACCGCTAACGAATAACATTACGTATTTTTTTTCAAATGCTTAAAAAGTATTTGTGGCGCACATTTCAAGGGACGGGGAGTTAATAATCCGCTAATCGCCGCACTGACTGCATAGCGTCACTCATTGATTTCCATATTTTATATAGTATTAAAAGTATGTCCCATTACTGACGTTTTACGTTTTAAAACCGTCTTAAAGATCAACATTGAAACATTTCGGTTTTTTTTTTTTCGTATCTCGACGGTTTTCACGTATTAAATCGTAGGTACTGTCTTAAAATCGTATCGTAAAATATTCGCTGTGTAAAATAACGCCGACTGTATTTTGATTCGTAACCTACGGGTTTCTCTTCATAATGACTTACTTTTTAAAAACCGAATACAAATAAAAAAAGAATCAACAGGTAAATGTTTCGTTATAAGGCACTAATATTCCGCATAAAAACACGTGTTGCGTGGTTTAATAATTTACAAATAAATCTATCATATTCAGCGGCGCTCAAATTGTATATTTACGGTGTAACAATATTTGAAATTCAAAATCACCTCTTTCACCCATATAAATATATACTTACCGACCCTAAAAAGTATAGCTTTTGAGTGTTTATACCGATTCTACACGACTATCCCAGATCATTGCAATCATTTTTTATTCTATACATAATGAGCCAATTTTGTAATGAGGTTTCTTCGTGTCCAATGGACGCCCAGCTGACAACATAATGCGTATACTTGGCCCTTCTACGATAATCATGTAGATTGTAGGTATATACGTTTTGACTACTAAAATTGTTGAGCTTGGGTCTTTCTACCCGTGAACATTTTTATCGTAATGAACACGTTACCCTACCGTATATATTCTACACAAACTGCCCACATACACCAGTGGTCTACCCAGGATGAGAAGTACATATATTTTGTTTTGTCACATATTATTGAAAAGGCAGAATATTTTTCCCGTGTAGGATTAGTGTGCGACTAATGTTAAACCTTTACTGATTTGTTCATAATATATAATTTGTAATGGGTAAGTAAAGAAACTTTTTTGGACTTTACGTGAATAAAATGTTCTAGACGCTACTACGAAATAATTATTAATGATCATAATTTGTAATCGTTAATACGAAAATTCTCTGGTGTAATTTTTCGATTGGATCAAATTTTCTGTTCAACAATATTGGTTTACAGACAGAAAAAAATATCCATCACAAACCGCTCCGCTTCGAATGTAAATTATTTTTGTTTTTTTTGTTATGAAAAAAATCGCATACAGTATACACGCTTATAGAATTTTATAATCGTAATAAATACCAAACTATAATAATGTGACAATATATTGCTGATTTCTCAACACTAACGTAGTATAAATTATAATTAATAACGGTTAAATAATTTTAATCGAAATTCTTTCGACAGATTTATTAGTTTCTATAATTAAAACAACCACGATTGCAGGACACTGCAACAATAGTGCATTTTTCACGATATTCCAGGGGAAAAGTTCAAAAATTGTTCCTATAAAATATATAATTGCCATCTATGATCGGATTATACCTACTACAGCAGCTAGTATTATAAGTACTTCTTCCATTTATGTTTCGAAAATATAATATTGAAGGACAATAGTTTTCAGTCAGACAATTATTCGAGTCTATTTTTTTTATCTAAGTACCTATATATTAAATATATAATTATCGCAGTAGTTCTTTAGTATACCTATACAATGTGACGTATTAATAAAAAAGTATTAAAAAAAAAAAACCCATTACTTCGAGATAAAATAATATATATATATATATATATATATATATATATAATTACAAATTAAAGTGATAATCTTCTACTCTACCTATACAAACACGAATGTATGTGTGTTCGTACTTTATACATTACTATACACCATTCATCCGATCGCCATGAAACTTTGGGAAATCGTCCCACATCATCCGGAGACCGCGGTTAATAGCAATCTAAATCCACTCCTATTGAATACCGTTTCCTGAAATTCGGTTTTCAGGTATTTTTAGTATAAAAATTTAATTATTTTTGTTGATTTATGGGTTACCTCGTTAATACTAGAAACTATTTTATTGCACGCGCGGGCAAAGCCTGACGGGACAACTGTTAAAAAATAATAATAATAACAACCCGTTTACTCGAAAGACGAATCGTCACATTGATATTTTAGAAATATTATTCATAAGTAAAATTGCAATTAACAAACCGAACATGTGTCTAATATATCAAAAACGTATAATTTTATTGGTTTAAATACCAACAATATGCGATTAATTGTATGAATCAACATAGTATATTTTCTGATGAATTAAAAAAAAAAAAAACCTAGTAAGTATATAATTTTTTTTAAATACTGTTTAATTAAATACGTATGATGCAGTTCGTATGGTAATAACGAGATTTTTGAATATAAAATCAAATTATGATTATATGAACCGCATGGCACATAATACTGTGGTTTAATAATAAGTAGAATTTCAGCGGTCGACTTATAACTGAATTTTAATAGATAACAATGATGGGTAAACAAGCACTGATGCGTTTTAAAAAGGTCAAATATACCTGCGTACTTCAAAAAGTTTCCAACTTACGGTATATAGTTAAGAGAAGTTAAATATTATTAAATCAATATTATAATCTTCGCTCGTAATTATAATTCTAATTTAAACTGAATAAACAACGAATGAAAAATGTTTTTAAAAGACATATTTTCTGTAGCTATACATTATATATTATAATCCCTTAAAAATCCAAGCATAAAATATTAATAGTGCAAAGTATATAAAAAAAAGATGTAAAATAAAATTACCTCATTCATTTTAGATTCTCAGCTTAGCGAGGAATGTACTGGTTTTACAAAGATATTTATTTATTTATTCATTTTTATACCGTGAACAAATTTTCCACCAGCACTTTTTCTGAAAGTAAATTATACTAGTGTGGTACTTTAGGAAGGTCATTTTTTGATTTACCCCGGGGTTTTCCTAATAAATTGGAAAAAACTTGACAAAAACGGGAAAATTGACGAAATGTATTATTTTTAAATCTTAAAATATTACCGACTTTCAAAAACGTATAACGCTCAGAATCGTTTTTCGTTAGCAATGATTAATCTTATCGTACAGATATACATTGAATTTCCCCTCTACCTTCCCAACTTCTCACCTTCAACAGAGGCCCGCCCACCGTGCGAAATATTGTTTGTTTTTTCCTACGTAATATCGAATTGTGGTGGTGAGTATCGGCATAGACCGCGATATAATATGACCACGACACCTATCAGCCGATATAGAGGCAAATATCGATTATCTATTTTATGTCGATAAAACAATACTATCGGATTATCACTATAATCTGTGGTATACAATTTTAATAAAACAGCAATCGAGTATTGTTTGTTGATAATATGATTGTACACAAGAATGACTGGAAATTGAAAATGCCTAACAGCAGCCGCGTGTTTTGAACGTATTAACCCTATAAACAGAGCCCAGCGTGATGTGCATATAACCATTACTGCAATAATTATGATATTATGTACTGGTGATTCGGAATGTGTTCAACGAAAATTCAATTATCCATGGACCACGTCTTATTCTGTAGTTATAAACCGAGTTGAGATAACGGTTGAAGAACACGTTGATGGTATATTGTTTTCTCTTGTAAAATGAATGGAGAGTTTCCGTAAAAATTTGACATGAAAACACAAAAAATAAAAAACTACTCAAATGATTCAATTATTTTTTTTTTTGGCCACAATTACGACGTGTATTTATGAACCTCCTAGTAAATTTTCAAGCATTTCTGTTCGGTCTAACAATTTTATCTACAGAGTACGTATCCAATAAAAATGATATAAAAAAAACTTGCAAAATTAAAATATCTATAAATATCTCAAAAACGGTTTAAATGTTTTAAAAATTTGGCCACATCTAGAAAAGGCAAATACAAGTTTTCTGTTCAAACATCAATTCTCTACGAATATTTTTAACTGAATTACGAAAAAAAAAAATTAAACTGAAAATAATAAATCTTGTACATTTTTCAGTTTTCCTATGTTTTTTCCAATTTATTGTAAATATAGAAAATCAAAAGAATGACCTTCTTAATATACCACGCAGACAAAATTTCCTTTCAGAAAAACGTACTACATTTGAAAACCGGAGCAAGATTTCTGGTAGAAAAGTTGTTTACAGATAAGAAAATAAATAAATGAATAACCATCATTGTAAAACCAATAAATTCCTTGCTTCATTGCTCAGAATCTAAAATATAAGAAGATAAATAAATAAACACAATTATTATGGTTCTCTATATTTGGTAATGGTATCCAGTCCTATTGCTGTAATGGTGTCTGCGATTTTATGCGTTTATCGTTCTACGAAAATCTCGTAACAATGAGACGTTCTTGAAAACTGCGTGATAAAAGTCTTCACAAATGACGGACAAACTGGTTTTACCCCTCACGGTATTATGCTACAGAAAAGCAATACGCGCGCATAATTAATGTTAAGTAAACAATCACGAGAATTTTTTATTAACCGATTGTGTTTCATAATGTTTCGCCGATGAATTTGTCTTTGCCATAACGCAACTGTACGGCTCACCCGTCTATTTTAATTACTGTGGCACAAGGCTTGTGCGATTATATTATAAAGATGGACGTTGGGCTCTTATACACAATACCAATTTGCATAAATATGCAAGAAATCATATAGCGCACATAAGAATTGCAAAATTATATTGCGTATACTAAACCAATTGTAAATATTATGAAATCAAAGATTTAGTGTTTGAACGAACCATCAATATGACAATATTGAATTGAAATAAATGATTGATTTATACTTAATCATTTATGAGTTTTACATTCATTGGTATTTTTCGATTTATTTAACCTGACATAATCGAGTTGACGAAAATCATATCATGACAATAATCTCCGTCTATATATGTGTATAAAAACGAACCGCCATAAATATCGCCGATAAAAAAACCCATTGTTAATAATTTTGCGGTAAAATCACTGTACTGCGCGGGTATCTATAGCAATGGCATATAATGATAATTTGCAGTCTTTTAATTTTATTTGGAAACTTTTTTTATTACACGGGCAACTTGAAAAGAAATAAATAATATTGTTTATTATTAATATTTCAAGCGCAACAATCGTTAGCAGTTATTATCAAGATCTTATACAGGCAACCTGTATTATCTACCGTGTTACATCCTGAGTAAAGTAAAAAAGTTATTCGTATTGCTTGAATAATATTATGTTCTTTATTTTTCTTTTTTCAGAGAGCACTGTTTCAGTTTTCACAAATGCTACGATTTTTCTCCTTCTGATACTTTATTTGAAAATGTTTTTTAATAGTCTTTCCGAAAAAATGTTTTATACTTTTTCATGAAAACACTTTTTTGGATGTGCAAATGTTCCAATTTGTTCACGTAATACTTGAAAAGACGAGGTCTGCTCAATGGTTAATTTATTTGGAATCCATCGAAATGTTCATTTTTATTTTTTTTTTTTTTAATTTTTGTTAATTCTTTGTTCAGACTAATACTACTCTGCTCAAAATCGTTTTTCGCTTTTTTTTTTCGTTTTCAATGGTTTATCGTTGCTCAAAGTACCTATATATATCCTAAATTACCCTATTTATCGGATATCATACCTTTCAATTACCCCTCTACAACAATGGTGTATCCCTGAGTAGTATTGACTTTTTTAAATTTGGTTTTTTTGTACGAGTAAAAATAATAATATAAAATATGTTATATTTAAACATTAAAAAAAATGTACTATTTTTTGATTTATTTTATCCGGGTGTATAAATCGTTTATATTTAAATGACGAGTAACATTAATTAACACATTTAAGATTACTTTTTTCAACCTTTAGCGGGGGGATAGGGTGGTACGAGACCGCTAGTAAAAATATACCCCTAACGATAAAATGATAAATACATACACGTAGGTGGGGCAAAATGGACCAATGAGGAAATGTGAAATCGCGCATAAAAAAAAGAAAAAGAAATCTATATCAATTTATCAAAATATGCCAAATATTATCAGAGATTTGATTTTTTCCAAAAGATAATGTAACACAAATATTAAGCCGGACTCAATATTAAACTAAATTTAAATTTATAAAACTTATTCTGGTTTAACTTTTGTTTTTATTGCTTTATGTTTTATTTAATACAAATTAATTTAAAAAAGTCAATTAAGATACAGAAAATCCAAACATTAAACCACACAACGATATATTACGTATACAGGGTGATTTTTTTTATCACGAACCAGCAATTATCTCAGAGGATTTTAAGAGAATTTGATTTTGATTTTTTTCTAATCATTATGGAAGAAGGATCATAGATTTATTATCTTTCCCTACTCCTCCGGTCTAAACTTTAAACTGTTATAACTCATAAACGGTAAATCCGATATTAGTGTAATGCATATCAAAATTTCTAGAAAAATATTTTTTATTCAAATCTGTATTCAAAAATGGGATTCCTAGTTGAAAATCAAAAGTATGTACTTTTACCTAATGGGAGTAGGGGTAAAAAATTAGAAATGGTTTCAAAATCAAGCTTAAACGATTCCATAATGATAAGAAAAACAGAAATCAAATTAACTTAAAATCCTCTGAGATAATTACTGGTTCATGATTAAAAAATCACTCTATATATTTTCCCACTGACTAGATTTTATGAAATCAATGTTGTTACACGTATATACCCACGCAACAAGTGTTGTTAATAGTTTCAGTAATACCGAGAATTATAAACAAAACACTAAAGTGCCCGTAAAAATCCCGCGTATAAAGGTGATTTTAATTTAATACTGCAGTAAATATAAATATAAGGTTAAATTAACTGAGGTTAGTCTATCTTTTAATACCTATACAAGTGTACGAGTTTACTAAAAAATTCAAATTAATTGAAATACGAATATAATATTCGTACTATTATTTACTTGTTTTTATAGTCCATCGTCGTTTCAGAAGAGTTTAGCTTTTGTTTTATTTGGTTGATATCGGCTGTACGGATGTAAAGTTATCTATGCATGTACAGTGGTATGACGAGGGTATAATTAAGTTCCGACAGAGTGTATGCCATATTTTGCTGTTTTCGTGAAAAATGTCATTAAGATTGCCCACGGAATAATTTGTCACAGTACAATACAAGTTAGTTAATGATTTGGCGTTATTATTTGTCACCGTCAATACGAAAATAATTACATTTTTTAAATGGTATTGCACGAAATATTAATAAATAAATATTCATTATTTGCGCTATGGAAATGTATATTATTTTTCTAAATGAAAAAAAACATCAAAATTATTACACGATTTGACCGAACCTCCTAAATCGAACCGCCGCCGCTAGATACTCGAAATGGTCTTTTGACGACACGCTTTAATCCGGTGAACTTTTGATTAGGTACAATATAGATGAACACTCAACGGCTGGTCTTTTAACATATTCTCCGAATGAAAAATATCCAAGGAAAATAAAATTACTCTACAACAGACTTTGCAGCGAATTTATTTGAGTAAAACGAATTAAAATGCTCATTTATAGTTCTAAAGGGGTTTTTAAAAATACACAAAAACAATGTTTATCCAATTTTTGATTGCACGGGTTATTGTTACGGAAAGTAATTAATTCAATTTAATACAATATTTTATAATTCGAGGAATTGTATGTATCTATAAGTGTTTTGATATAAATCTGAATTATCCGAAAATCAAGATTTCGAACCTCATATTCCGAAAACTCTTATTTTAGATTTCCAATTTCGATTCTGTGTTTTTTTTTTAAAAATATATTATATTATATATTTTCGATTCGGAGCGTATCGAAGAATGTATTGATTTACAACGATATTTATATTTTGCTTTTTATTTCTTTTTATACATACTTTTTAAAAGAAAAAACTTGCTCTAATTGACAAATGACAAGAGACCTTTTTTGTTGAATTTTGGACTTTCATGGTACTATAGGAAATAATTTATTGATTTTCCAAATAGTTTCTATAATAATTGGGAAATACTGAAAAAAAAAAATGTAGGAAAAATATAGGGACATATCTGTTTAGACCATTATTTACAGCGTAACGATTTTATATTTTTGTAACTTATGATTTCTACTCAAAATCTTCCTACAATTAAAAAATGAAACTTTTTTGTTGAATTTTGGATCTAGTTGCTCACGAAGTAAATCTTTTTTCGATTTTCCGCGTGATTTTCATAATAAAAAGGAAAACCGCTGAAAGACAAAAAATTAAAAACAAACAAATTTACAGTGTACCATTTCATTATTTAAAATTTGTATGCACAATATTTGTTACCAGAAATATTACTTCAATAGAAAAACGACAGAAAAAATAATTATAGACAAATGTCTATATTATTACACTTTGTGACAAGGAACTGTAAACACATCACTGATCTTGTTGCTTTAAAAAATTTATTTACTTCATTGGTTCGAGCGAAATTAGAATACAATTCTGTGGTTTCGTCATTTTACATAAAATATCAAATTCTCTCCTTAGACAATGTACAAAATCGTTGCCCACGTTTAGCCTTCAAATGTAATTTGCTCATGAGTCACGTTCTCCTTATCAACCATTATTAAATTTATTTCAAATTATTTGTTTATCAGAAGGTATAAAAATAAATGATTTTTTCTAGGTCTGCTACTATTTTTATGTTTCTTTAAGAACCATTTATAGGCTAGTGCTCCACCTATCTATAAAATGATGTGATTAACCAACGAAACAAAAATTGATTTATTTAAATAATTCTCTTACTTGGAATCTTTTAATAATTATATTGTGTATACAATTTTTTGTATTTTATTTATTTATATTACTGGATCATTACATCACTTTTAATATTTTAGATACTGCTATGTATAATACATTATAATTTGATCTTAAAATCCGTTAGATTTTAAATGGAATTTAAAAAATATAAATACAATAGATTAAACAAAAAAATATATATATATATATATTAGCGAACAGGTATAATATTAGTGGACAGGTATAATATTGGTATGACTAATTACCAGTTTAAATTACACAAATATTATTATTTACTTTTATGTATTTCATTTTACATCGTTTTAGTGAAAAAGAAAATAACAATCTGGTAGATTAAATAGTTGAAATCATATAAATAAAGCTCAATAAAAGATTTAGGTATTATGTAATTAGTTATGTTAAATACCTAGTATAATTCACACATTAGTATAGTCCATACTCTGTGAGTATGACTTCGGGAATTGGAGTAATACTAAAAACAGTCCAAGAAGCGGGTATTTTATCAAATAAGAATTCAGGATAGATAAAAATCTAATAAAATAATCTATAGCAATTGAAGTTAGATGCTTCAGCATTATATGGGAAATATTATCAGAACCAGTTACGAAAGATTTGATTAACTCAATGACGGAATTAAGCACACTTAACGTGATGGGCGAAAAAAACGGCAATGGTTTAGATTCGAACACCATTATGTATTTCCATGCGTTCCTTTTGGAGTATTTAAGTAATCGTGTGATATCAGCACTAGTGTTTTGATAATTATGAAAATCAGAAATAGAATCAAAGCGTTTAAAAGTTTTGAACGGTGTTTTATGATTTTACACTGCTAAGGAACAGGAAGGAGAGAAATATTTACCAGGTGGCAACCCTAGCACTTTAACTCTATGCCCAAGAAGTAAGCAGTTGTTGCACTGAAATGGCGAACGAATGCTGGGTGAAGCTTTAAAAATGGTATTGTCGATAGATTCGACTCCGAAATTTTAGATGATAAGAACTTAAAGTCAATAACCCAGATCGAGGTTATAATGCCGTTTTTTATTTTTTGAAATTCGTTTGTATGAAATGACCTGCATTTCTGCCTTTAAACCGTCCGAAAAACCCTCTTCTGGGAAAGAGGTGTCGACCCTAATGACACCGTGGTAAAAATTTAATGTAGATGGAATTTAAGGTGTAAAACTGATGTTGTAAAATAAGAAGGGAAGAAATTTCATTGCCATGTCTTTGGAAATAAAAGTAATTTTGAGTAAAAATGTTTCATTTTGTATGTATATTGTATGCTTATTTTTATATCAAGTAACTAGTTCACAAGCTTTCTGTGTAATTCCACCAGTCTTCCTCATAACCTTCGTGGACGTGCTCTAATAACACTTTCCGCCGATTTTCGCAGTAACTGAAAAACAATAAAATAATAAAACAAAAAAGAATACACCTACAATTTATAAAAACTATAAATAATACCGATATTTATCTTGAACGTTCTGCTTGATATTAGCTATATTTTTTGAAGTAATATCTCTTTCTAAATATTCTGATAGAGTTTCTGTAGCACTTTCTAAATCTCGTTGGTTATCCTAAATGATTGAAAAGCCGGTAATTAAAATATAAGCAGATTGCATTAAATATAATCAATATTTAAATGAATAACCTCAAATAGAATGGATTGATTATTTTTCTTCAAATAGTATGCAAATACGTAAGTGTACATGAGTGTTTGTCTACATTGACATAATGTATCAACTGCTTTTTTTAAAAATTGTACCTGGAATTTTATTATAAATTAAAATGTTAAGTTATATTTTTTTAACTGTAAAATAATAATTGTTAATATGATATTATGAAATATGTAACAGGATTAACTATTGAAAAACTAATTTTAATTTTTATATAACTTTAGGTATATTTTATAGTCATAATTCTTATTGCTGTCAATCTTTCTGTTTTTCTTTATTTATTTATACGTAAAATCCAATAATCCAAAATTCACTTAACGACTAAATTAACAAGTTTCTTAAACACACATAAATAATACGTAAGTTATAAAAATGTAAAATCATGAAATCGTTACGTCCTAAATACGAGTATTTGTTCTTTTATCTCTACGTTTATTCCCGGTTTTTCCCAATTATTCTGAAGACTAAAATACTAGAAACTAAAAAAACTCTGTAAATCATTTTTGGTAAGTTTACTTTAATTTGGCATTGATTATGTGCCAAATTTCAGTACTACAGTGCATTTCAATTATAAATTGGTATTATAATGAATTTTGTTGGTGGTATTGTGTCTGCTGTAGGGAGCTAGCGCGCAGAAGATAAGCCACTGCGTACTTTTTTTCTGACCAAAGCATTCATTTTTCAAGTAGTACTATTCGCCAGCATATACCTAAATATTGGTATTATAAAAAAAATTATTGCTCAATTCCTGTCCGCTAATTTCAGGAACCTTTAAATAAGACAAATAACAACACTAATTATTAGGTTATTAATTTATTATTTTTTTAATGTTTTTAAGAAAAGCGTGTTTTCTTTTTTTTTGAAATTCGGTGTGTTTTGTGAAAAATGACAATAGACTTTATTAAAAAAAATTGCGAAATTTCACATGATAGTTGGATCACGATTTATTCAACCATAATCCTATTCTAATCTAGTCGTACTATAAATTTATCTAACTTGCTCATTAATCTTTTGAAATAGACTTGACCAAAAAAAAACTATTCTGTCTTTTACAAAAAATATTGAAAAAATAATTAACTTACTTCATTCGAGGACATATTATGTTGTTGCATTTTTTCTTTAACACTAGAATAAAGCTTGTGTTCAAATTTAAGTGATTGCATATGATTCATATAACGATTACAGTAGAAGAGATACCTCTGTAATGCTGCTCTTGATTTCTCTTGAGCATCTCTAGCCGCTTTGGCTTCTTCTTCATCATATCGGCTACAGTTATACCTGCATAATTTTACAACTAATATAAGAAAACTAACAGTTAATTTAAGTTATTTTTATTTTACCAAGAAGATCCATGTGGCTCCCATGGGCCCATACAGACCCAACAAAAATCATATTTACAAATTTGGTTTTTACAAATCAAATGGTTGCATCCGCCATCTTTTTCTATAGTTACATTACATTTAGGACACTCCTAAAATAATAATAAAGATTACAGTTAATATTTTCTCATAATCTCTTTAAAAGGAGCTATAATAAATGAGTTAAATTTTAATGACAAGATTTTTTTTTAAATTATTATATCGGATAATTCATTTAACAAGCAACACTCATTATTTCGTATAGTATTGACTTTTCTCATAAAGTTTTTTTTCGATAACTCATTTAAGAAACAAGTAGCTCTAAAATGTTAAATTACCATTATTTTTTTTCACCTTTTTTCGAGAGGGGGCGTATATCCATTTTAGATTTTCAAATGACAACCTAAGTATAAAATGCCATAAATAGACGGAGAAATAGTTTAAATACATATTGATGTTGACATTTTTGATTTGCGTTAACCCGTTGACGAGATATTCCACTTTTAAGTTTATGTAGTGAGAGAGTATAATGGAACATAATTCAAATGCCACGTGCAGTGATGCCTCACAAATTATGGCCCACTACTCTCCTCCTCCTTAAACTTATAGTGGAATATTTATTTTCGTCAATAAACTTAATGACTTTAAAAATTTCAAGATCAAAATTTATGGAATTTATGGAACTTATAATATAAGTTATTATTTAAAAATCAAAAATATGTAAGTAGTCGTTTTGCTCTAAAAAATAAGGGGGACAAAAGTAATGGAAGGTAACATTTCAGAGCAACTTGTTTCTTAAATTATCAAAAACAATTTTTTGAAAAAGTCATTACTTGAGAATAATTAATGTTGTATGTTAAATTAATTAATCGTTTTATATATATATAAAAAAAAAACTATAAAAATAAGTACAATTAATAAATGTTTATACGAATACTTTAGTATTAGCTGCAATCCAATTTGAAGTTTCTGAATCATTATCGCACTTTTTGATCCACTTCCTCAATAAATTACATTTAACTGGATCGTGCCAATTTTCTCCACATACAAAACAAAATACATGCAAACATCGACAAACTACTGGTTTGGAATCAATATATTGGACCTTAACAACATTGTTGCAATCAGGTGATGGACACCACCGTAATAGTCGGTTACACTATTTCAGAATAATAAATATAAATCTATTTATTGGTTGTTTAATAGAAAATGCTTTATAGTATAACTTACTTCAACAAAACTATTAGTAATTAGATGTTGATATTTCATTCTAACTTTTGGATCTCTGACTAATCGCATGACTGTGGCATCATCTACCAATATGTCACAACCACTAGCTGCACAGGCAATTGTTTGACCAGCACCTTCTTCTATAATTTTTGTTGTTAAATATTCTGTCCAACACTGTGTGCAGAAACAATGATTACATTCTAGTCCAGTCATCATCTAAAAATACACAGAAATGTATATTAAAATTAAATACATTTTTAAAGAATTAAACACTTAATTTTAAAAAATAATAAAGCTATCAAAAAAATTAAAAACTAAATATTAAAATAAAATTTAACATACAGTTGTTTATAGGGAACTGACATTCTTTTATACATTCTATTTGTCAATAGTATTAAATTTGATTGTATATATTTCTAACTAATTTAATGTCCTTGCATTTTTATAATCAAATCGGAATAAAATAATAACCAGCTATACAAAAATTCGCTCCAATATACCTTTACAGAATGGAAACCGTTTTTATCAGCTTCAAATGCTGTGGCAGGATCTAAAATGTATGGTAAAATTGAATAAATAACAGATCGTTATATTATTCTGATTTGATTATATTATTTAAGTGTATTATTTTTGTATTCAGTGGTTGGAAGTAGCACGCTAACTTTTTTTTAGCGATACTGGTGGTCTACAGTTTCATTTTGGTAAGTAGCGTAGAACATAATAACACTACATAGGAAAATATTACAAAGTTCGCTACTTTTTACCAAAGCAAATTTGTGAATTTAACGAAATATTCTGTAACTTGTAGTAATATTGTTCCGTTTTTAGTCTGTAGTTTATTTTTTTACTATGGGAAACGTTAAATGTAAATAAATTATTATTATATTATATTATAAGAATAACTATTGAGGATGATACTACATTTTAAAAAATTGACAAAAATAAAAAAGTTTCTTTTGTAAGTCGAAAAAAACTAGCGCACTTCTTTTAAAAAAAAGTAAAGATGATTGTAGAGAATTTTTACAGGAATTTAGTGATAATAGTTGTGCATTACATTGAAAATAATGATTTTCAACCACTGGTTACATTACTCTATTTAAAAATAAATTAATTCGACTTACATTATTTGGAAATCTCGCAAAACAAATAGCACAGTCTTTCGTTCTTCTACGTCTAGGCAAGGGCTAAAATACAATGAATTTAAAATATTTACATGACAATTTTATTGTAGACATTTAAATCATAAATAATCATAAATTTCACTCAAAAAAAATCAAAAGGATTAAATATTTTAAACAAGAGTTCATACATTTTATTAATAAACACCTATTAAAATAGACACTAATTTGATGTGTACTTTCCAGGTTTTACCCGTTCTACACTAGGTATACGCATTTACGGTTATGATATTATTATTATTTATATATGATTTTTCGGGTATTTTATTTGACTTTTTTATTAATTAATTTAAAATATACTACTGTAGGTTTTATAACAGTCGTCTTTTCAGACTTTTTTCAGTTACCTTACGCTTACGGTTGTTCGTGATTTTAACGTTGCTGTGATTTTTATATTTTATTTTATTGTATATTATTTTTTAATAATTATAATTGTGATACAAATACAGAATCCACGTGTAAAGCATTAAGAGGTTATGGTTGGATGTGAAAATGAAAGAATTGACGAATATGTGGGAGTCTTCCTCTTAATCGTTTGCAGTCCCATATTGATCAGTATTTCTGGCGACATTACCGTTAAGAGAGTTCTGACCATCATCTTGCCTTAACCGAAGATATTAAAAACGTGAACCGTAAAATAAAACACAATTAAAAGGATGTATATAGCGCATACTGAATAAGTGCCTTAAAATATTGGTATAGTTGTAAAATAATACCATTTTAATTAAATTAACAACTAAAATCACTGCCCGTTTCCATTTTTTTAATATAAAAATCCATTTATAATTTGTAATTTGAACATTACAATAAGCAAATGTGATAAAAAGGGTCGAGAAGTAGAGCAGGATCGAAGCCACCTATTGGCGGCATCCCTAAAATTATGAATACTTAATAATAATAGTAATGTACAAATTAACAAATGATAAATTACCCGCTGTATAATTGGTTGAGTTCGTTTGAATGGGTTTATAACTCTAGCTTCAGAAAATAATTTGTCTTGGTCACCGTCGTAAAATTGTTCCATTAATTTTTCTTTATCCCATTTAAAATAATTTAATAAAATACGTGTAGTTGTAGCAGGCATCTGAAATTTCCAAAGGTGCTCCATAATGTAATTGTGTCTTTTAATATATTGACTTATAGTAAGTATACATTTTTTAAACATATATCAAATTTATGTAACATTATAGTATCTATACGTTTCATAATAACGTAGGCGAATATTCCTCTAATCTGACGGGGCCGTGTGTAATCAGTGGCGTAGCTAGATGGGAAAAGGTCTCAGGGATGTTAAAAAACTAGGCCCTAATATAATCTTTATGAAAATTCGAAATATATTTACACGTAACAATGTTTAATCAAGTGTGAAAACTTACTATTTAAACCACAAATGAAAATAATAAACAAATAATAAATAAATTCATAAAGTAAAAAGGAAATCCGGTTTATTATATTATACCTACAAATTATAATATTATCAGTAACGTTAGGTACTGATGACTGATGTATTAATACGAACATATTCGTGTTTCAGAATATTTTACTTGATAGTACAATAGTATTGTCAATAGACTATTTTACAATTTACACGTATGCGGTAATAGTTATTTCGACCGTCTGTATTCGTGGACCGCGGTCGTGGTACAATTATTTATTATGCAACGGCGAACACCGTTAATTGCAGTGTATTATTATTAGCGTTATTAGTATTTTAATACTGATTGTGAATGGAATTAACATGCGCAATTTGGAACATCAACTATTAAATACATCAAAATTCTTAATTATTTTAAAGAAGTAATTTCAGAACGGTCCAAGGACTCCAAAGCCCGCTGAGCTCTGAAGTCTCGGCGCACTACCCCACTTTTCCCTATGATAGCTACGCTACTGTGTGTAATACTTTTTGACGGTAGTAGAAATTAATAAAATCTTTTTTCTTACTTGAAGCACAGTATTGACTTCTTTGATGCAGTCAATCATGTATTGAACAATGTTTTCAGTGGATAAAACTTCAAAAGAAAAATCATCAACATCTTGATTCTTTTCACGTTCGTGTTGTACATCAAACTCCATTGTAAAGTTTACATCGTCTCCACTAGTTTCATTACCAGAGTCTACATCGATTGTTCCATCTTCATATAAGTCCATCACATTAGATACCTTCACACGGTGAACTTTAGCGATATATTTTGAAAAAAATTAAATATATTTTTAGTTTTATTGTATTTTATTTTGCCTAGCAACTAACAAGTTAGTAGCAATCAGTTGTTTTCTGACCCCGACAACGTCATCGCCACCCTCTTTGGGTTTCATTAATACCCGATACGGTATACAAACTATTTCGTATCCAATAGATCCCTTTCCCTTATAACTTTGATCCCCATGATTCCTTGGAATCCGTTAGTACCGATTAATTAGGGATTATTTTAATAGGATTTTATTACTAAAATTAATTAACTATTATCAAGTAAATATTTTTAATTTTTTTTATTTTAGCCATCGTCTATACGTAAAGGAACTTCTGGAATGGAAGACTGTGTTATTTGTTTTTCGAGGCTTTTGAATAATGTAAGTTATATTTCATAATTTTTAAATAGAGTAATATAACCAGTGGTTAAAAATCACTTTCGATACATTTAAAAAAAAAAGAATTACATATACACTACAATGAGTTCGGAGCGTGTCGAGGAATTTATTGGTTTTATGATTATTATTTTTTTCAACTGTAAACAACTTTTTTACCAGCTATTTTGTTCCAATTTTCAATTATAACATTATTATGAACCATTGCTCACGAAAAACGATTCTGAGCGGAGTTCAGTTGATAGTGTTACCTTTTCAACAATATATATGTCATATTATGGTGGTAAAACGATTACATATGTATTAAAAATTTTGTTATTATTTCTATTTTTCCGTTTTTTCCCGCTTTTTCCCATGTTTTTCTCATTTATCGGAAAACTCTTGGGAAAATCAAAATATTATTTAAATACCTAAATTGTATACCCTACCCCATAAATTTTATATCTTAACATAATGACTGTGATGCTAACTAAAACTGGCTAAAACTTAATATAGAATTATTCTTTATTTAGTAGTAATTTGTTTGAAGACATTAAAAACGTTTTAACAATAATAGGTATTAAAAAATGTCATCAAATGTCTTGTTAATCGCCCGAGGACCAAAGCAAATGGTTTTTACCGAATATACGAGATAAGCGTACACTTTTATACCGTCGTACCACTGCGAAAATTGAATTATTAATTATTACTGTTATATAAATCGATTGACATTTTTTAAATGAATGTACAATGTTGCCGCAATGTAGGTAACTAACGTTATTTCTCGTATTTTTTTTTTTCTAGTATAAAATTATGTACATATTGTAAAATCCACGTATATACCAACTATATTATATAGTATTATATTCATAAGTTTACCATTTGAAGGCGAGTCACTTTGTTTGCTATTGCAGATCAGAGTTTTATAGACATTGGATTTCAATAATAACTAAACGCAGGTAAAAATATAGTATAAAAAAAAATAAATATTTTTGGTGTACGTACCGAAACTAGCTGTATAATAATAGCTGTACATACAATTATATTAACGGTTCATATCACTGCAATGCGTAAAATTCGATCCAAATCCAATCTATATGCATTTTACTTGCAATACTGGAGACAGTCTAGATGATATTTTCCCGGCCAGATTATAAATTTAAATTTCTTTTTAGACGGACTAATGCCGAGTTACATAAAAACCATTCCGTAAATATTAAACAAATTATTAACTAATTGCTCGTTAAAATTGTAATGGTTTGTTCAATCGCTAATGAGTTTCATAAAAATTATACAATTATTTAAGGAGAATAAACATATATTATCTATAATCTTATATTTTAACGATAGCAGGTGTCATATTATCATAGCGTTCGTATCAGACTGTTGTTATCTAGTAATATTTGAATTTTAAATACACCTGCATTTTAATTTTATTCACCGGAATCTACGACAAAAGTCTACGTCATCAAAATATGTCAGTGGATCGGACCTATTCCGAAACACCCTTGGTTTAGCTAAACGTCCTAAAACTTTCAATATGTATTAATCATCATTATTATAGAATGATGAATCATAATAAACAGCCACAGTGCATTCAATAAATATTTTAATAATTGAATTAACAAGTTGGTTCATCAATCGTTTTTTCATTTTCATATTTTTGAAAACCATATTATCTTTGATATATGGGAAAATTATTGTAACTGATTAATGATAACAGATATTTAACGAGTCATTTGAAATTTATCGAGCCAAAATCGAACTAGTGGACCGTTAAAATTTAAAGAATGTTTATGTAATAAAATATTTTTAACGAGTCATTAAACCCGCTAATGGTCAGTTAATCCTTAACTGGATTGCTGTATTGCATTAACGATCGTTTATGCAACCCAGCATAAGAATACGAAAATCGATTTTTATTATTATGATTTCCCTGTAGTTTAACGCATTAAAAAGTTGTCACGTGCATAACCTATAATATATTAATATGTGCCGTCTTTATTATATTAATAGGTACTAGATATCAAACTTTATTTATGTTGATTACCTTGGACAGTTTCAATCAAACTGTTTGCAAGTATGTGCATGTATTATGTATGGTATTACGTAATACATACCCTCTATTATTTGTCTTCTTTTTATAGAGCCCCACACTCGTTTCTATTGAGACGGAGAAACGGTTACTCTCTTTTTGTAAATAATGATATTTTCAAAATTTATTATCAAATCATATACATATTCAATATTGTAAGTATTTTTTTTAGATTTTAATATTATTATTATACATGTATTATTGTAATACTAAATTTTTTAAAAAAAAAGCGGAAATACTTCGCATGTGAGTGGGCTGTAGTTGAGAAGTTGGGAAGGTAGTAGAGAGGATATTTAATGCATATCTGTACGCAACGATTAACAAATTAATAATTACATATGCATTAAACATTTTCTTTAATAATATTCGCTTAACATTTATACCTATTTTCCCGTCTTTTTTCCGGTTTTTTCATTCATTGAGAAAACTTCTGGGAAAATCAAAAAAGTACCTCCCAAGTTAGATTTCCTTTCAATAAAATCGCTGCCATTTTAAATCGGGGCAAAATTTCTGGTAAAAAAGTTATCCAGAGAAAAAAAAATCAACATCATTGTAAAACCAATACGTTCCTCCAAAACCACTCGGAATCTAAGTTCATTAATACCATCGTTTAATCTTACATATATCTTACCGTTATTATTTTTCTGTTTTGCACTTTTGACCTGTGTGATAATAAAATAGATACTAAGTAATTTAGGCGTAATATTTTTTACGAAAATAAGAAACAATTTAATAAAATAAATATAAGTTTAATGTCTATAAAATTGTATGAATGGTAATATACATCAAATACATAAATATGTAAATAAAAACGTAGTCTGCAGGACTATCAGGTACAGGTTGTATTTTTGTTTTTTTCAGTTACTAATCATTGAATCATTAGAAAAGTAGTGTAAAAGAATGTAGGATTAGGTCGTGATAAATAATTGCTAGAGACGCACATTTGTTGTACATTTTATAGTCCCTCTTTTTTTTTATTTTTTCAACTCGAGCACTACCGGACTATACTCAGTATAAAACTGGACAACCCCGAGTAACGACAGCTAGTATCACTATAAAATTCCATTCAATTCATACATTATCCGCATACGTCGTTCTTATGGTAAATACGTTTACTTTATTTGACACTTACGAGTTACGATACGATGTGACCCAAAAGTTAAATCTTCTAAAAAGTAAATGTGTGATGCATCGTACTCTACTGCATGATGTTCTAAAGATAATGGGGATAAAGTTTAGTGGGTAATTTTGAAAATATTTTACTTGTATAAATCATATAATATTGTACAGCCGGATCCGGGGGTTTATAAGTAAATACAAATAAACCAGCAGTTCTTAAACTGTAGTCCACGGCCCCCTGGGGGTCCGTGGTATTCATGTCGAGGGTCCGCGACAGCTCTATCGATACATTTAATATGATAACATAAGATATTTTGCAAACAAAAAAATGATTAGTAGGAGTTCCGCGATTTCTAAAAGTCTTTCATCAGGGATCTATGTGCACTGTAAATGTTTAAGAACCACTAATATAGACCATAGAATTTGTTTTATCAAAAAAAAAAAAAGAAAGTTATTCGTTCAAAATTTAAACTACACCACAGTCTTTGTACAATCTTAAAAAACTAAAACACGTTGTAAAAACAGTCTCTGATTCTGTTAAAAATATTTATATTATTATTATTATTAATTTTTGGTACGTGTATTATAAAAAACAGACAAGTAAACAATTATAAAGTTTTATTTACGGTAGACTATGAATAAAAGGAAATTTAATGTAATGTTTAATTTAATTTAATCGTACTGAAATATTATTGAATAAAACTAAAACTTTAAAATAAAAGCTGTATTTTTAAAACAAAGTATTGTAATATTGTGAACCTTGACAATAATTTAATTTAATATATTGCGTAATACAAATGTTTGGGACGTTTGACTAAACAATTAATAAGAAACATAACAATACGTATGCAAATAAATCTTTTGATGCGCGATTCAACGGTATTAGTAAAAAATTAAAAATATTATGATTATGCATTTATTTGATTTAATGGTAATTTAGCTACACACAATCTACAATTTTCAGTAATTTTAGTACTTGTAATATTTTACGATGTCAAAGCATAAATATTTTTAATTTACTTCTGAATGTGGCGAAGAAGCTATTAGTTTTACGAAGTGTTCACCCCTCTCCCCCGTAAAATACCTTTTTGATTAATAAAAATGTCCCGATATTTTCACCTGGCACCTTAAAAGAGGCAGGATTTCCGTCCAGTAGTACTTCACTTGAAACATTTGTCTAAATTCCGAACAATTTTTCTAAAAAATCTATAAAACTGATAACAAATGGTTTTATATTTGTTGATTTATTCCGGGTTACCGCGGCTACAACGGAAAAACACAAGTAATATGTTGCGAATATAATAATATCGAAAATTCAATCATATCACAAAGTAAAATAAGTACTGTATACCTAATATAATATAATGTATAT